GTAGTGCGGGGCACAAAAGGTTTAGGCCTGGTCAGTCAGTTATGCCTCATGCATGAATCGGCTCAAGTTAAATGCTGGTTAAACAGACAACAGCAGCAACATGATCGATGCTTGTTGAATGGATTTAATTTGCTGAAAGAATACGCGTTGAAGTAGAAGGTGAAATGCACTTGTATCAAACACCATAAAAGACGAGTGTGAGGGAGAGCAAGAGTGGGTAGAGGGGGGTTGCAAGTTGAAGTCTGGCAATCTGGTTAACAATCTCCGCCTAAGGCAGCTGCTCAAGCGGGCAACAGTTGCTGCTGTTGCTGCTGCTGCTGCTGTTGTTGTTGTTGTTGCACTTGCGCCGCTGTTGTTACAGTAAACTACTGAGACAACGACCGCCACTTGCCATTGACAGTTGAAAAATGAAATGATGCTGCGCCTGCGCAGCGGCAGACCGTTCTAAGTGGCTGCAGTTGCTGATGTTGTTGCTGCTGTTGTTGCTGTTGTTGTTGTCTGCACAAAGAAAGACAGTTACAGTTAAATAAGCAAAAGTTTCCAACTGTCCCGCTTCGTGTGCATGTGACTCGATTTCTTTGGGATGCCTGAAGACTACAGCAGCAGCAGCAGCACCAACAGTAACAACGAGAACAGACAACAGCAGCAACAACAACAACAACACTTGCAGCAACCAATTCCCAAAGACCCAAAGACTTCCAACACCCGACTTGGCCACATGCGAGCACGCATTTTACCGTTTGAGCAGCGCTCATGCAACTGTGCGTGTTTGGGCCGGGCCTTAAACATTCTCACATGGGCCTGTCTGCAGCCTGTTGTTCTTGCAACTGGCTCTTGTGGCTGTTGCTGTTGTTGCCGCATGCTTAACCGCAATCTGTGAGTGCAGCAGAACAGAAAGAAATATGCTAACGTATCATAAGCACAAATGCGCAACAATTGTCGGCTGCGTTCTTGTTGTTGTTGTTGTTGTTGTACAACACTCTCAGTGAGATGGCACGCAAAAGTGTGTCATGAGAAGGCAACATTTGCCAGCTCATGAGGCATTTAACACTTCTGATTAAGCTGATGCTCTCAGGCGCAAGAACTAATATTCTCTTGTTCAACTGTTGGGTATATATCACATGTCAAAGAACTTGAGTGTCAGATAAGTGAAGATTATTATTTAATATTACTTATCAACTATTATTGTGTACTAATTTGTCTGTTCTTTTGTGTTATTTCATTCATATTTTTTATATATCTATTAATTAAAATGCAGTTCTTCTCTATATTTCATTTCCTATATAATTATTTATGTGTTCAAATAGAATTTTTAACATTTCGAACTTCATGTAAAATCTTCTCTGCAGATTCCATCTGCATTCGCGAAGTTATATACCTACAAATCTATTTAACATTTTCACTAATCGCATATTAATCCGTGCAAAGCTAGGCCATTACTTAATCATTTCCAACAGAAACCATTCAAAATATATATTTATGTATTTAGAGTATTTGCATAGCAGTCGGTTCAACTCATCTCGACTATTGACTGGCACATATTTCTACATGCCATTGTGTGTGCAATAATTTGATTTATCACCCGGCATTGGCTTTGTAAACATTTTATGCATTTAGCGCTGAAAATTTATTGGCAGCAGCAGCGACAACAACAACAGCGACAACAACATCAATGACAGGCTGCAACCATGCAATTGTCAACGTTATGCCAATAATTGTATTGATCAACAACTGAAATAACAATAACAGCAGCAACATCTATAACAGCGAAATCTAAACAAATAATAGGGCTGAGTTATATGCGAAACATAATGGTCAATAACCTTTCGACCAATAAATCAAATGTTGGCGTTCGGTTTAACTATAAATTAAATACCAGAAAGTCAACGAGTGCTGCTTTAGGCCCTGTTTCTGTAGCCAGCTTTTCGAGATAATCATAGGCAATAACAACAACCACGACGACAACGACAGCGGCCATAAAAACCAACAACTAAAATAATCACTCGTAAATGCCTAGTGACAATAAAATTGATGATAAACCAAATCAACAGAACAGCAATTGGAACCCAATAGAAAAGCACAGCGCCCCGAAAAGAATCGAATCTCAGCCAAACCCAAACCAAAACGAAACGAAATAATGCAAAACGAATTTGCGTTTCGCCTCGTTTTTTTTATATTTTTAGTGCCTGTGTCGCCTCTTAGGCTGTAATTCTGGCTAATACCCTGTAATGAGGGCTTAAGCTTGGTATATTTAATATTTTTTAACAAAGGCATACTTCAGTAAATTAAAAATAACTAAAAAGTGAAAAAAGTTGCGAATTTTTAGCTCTTTTAGTGTCTTTTCTCTTCTTTTGTCTTTTGCTGTTTTAATAGGTTATGGGTAGTCTGGTTCAAGAAATGATTGTGCTTATCGATACTATTGGGTCGCTTACAGGTTGTTGGCATCGATAGCGATAGTTCCGTTTTTGAGTTCCTATCGATAGCGATTGTGAAGCTTTTAAATTCCTTAAATTCTTAAAGAAACTTTTGCGTATGTAAGAGTTGAAATCTTAACTAATTCAAAAAAAGAACGATTTTATCGATTATCTAATAATATTATAATAGAAAAAGATAATAAAATGATTATAAAATCGATAGACTAAACCGATAAAAGCATTTTAATTGCTTATCGTAATATTTGTAAGTATTATCGATTGCAGTTAAAGATTTTTTAAAATATTTATAATATTATATAAAGGTTAATATATAATTTTGTAGAATTGATTGTTAGAGCAGAAATAATAGAAACTAAATAAATTACAATCAAAAACATATTATCGATAGCTGTTAATTGCTTTTAAACTGCCGCTAGAGGGTACTTAAGACTCCGGCAACTTTTATATATTAGCTGCTATTGCCTTTTAACTTGGCTAGCATCCAAGTAACCAATTGTTGTCGTTGTTGTTGTTGTTGTTCTTGTTTTTGTGTATTATGCTACTTGAACGTTAAATGAAATTAAGCTGACGTTCAGCTTGATTGGTTCTCTAGAGGCCAAGCAATGTCGGTTCACAATTGACTTTGTCTTTTTCACTTAATCATTTATAGTACCAACTGAAAATCGAATACAAACATACACACTCACAAACACGCACACACATAGGCACGAGGCAGCCCCCTAATCAAGCTGCTTCTAATGACACTGCAAGTTCTATAAAAGCCGCAACGCCCTCCCCGCCTCTTTTCCCGGTACACAAACACACACAGATAAACACAGTGAGACTCAAATCAACTGCAATTATGCTGAAAACTCAAAACTGTACTTAATTTTCAATTTTCAATGGTAATCAATTTTGTAATTGAAGATTCGGTTAGAGGTCTGCCATAGCTTTTCCAGCTGCCGAGCTGGAGGCTGCACGTTTACGACAATTGTCCCTCGAGTGGCCGCATCAGAACTTCATTCAATGGCCAAATGGTAGACAGTACAGTGAATACACTAAATACTGAATACTGTGTACTGTATACTGTATTCTGTACACTGAATGCTCAGCACTGGACCAACGAACACACTGAGTGCTCAGCATATTTTGTTGTCGTCGACTTTATACTCTCAGGGAGGGTCTTATAATATATTGTTGTGAAATGTGTAATGCATGGAAGAAGACGGTTACGAAGGTATGAAGTATATATATTCTTGATCATTTTGAGCAGTCGGGCTAAAATAGTCATATCTATCCGACTGTTTTTCTCTGTATCTGAAAGTTATCCCCAATATAGATATGTCTATCTGACCGCGTCTCTGTCTGTTTGTCAGTCTTAAAGCTATCCCCAAAATATGGACATTTCTATCTGTCCGTCTGTCTTTGAGTGTAAGATTTATCTCCGATAAAGCTATGTCTATCTGTCCGTCTGACTGTCTGTCTCTTAGCTTCCTCATGAAACGTTGCATAGGTTCGAAGTTCGAAGTTCTTGATTGAAAAAGAAAAGACTCAACATTTATTAGTTTAAATATGTTAAGTAAATAGAAACAAAATCCCATTAAGATCGGTTCAGTATATTATATAGTTGACATTGGATACATCGGACTATATAAAGATCTTGATTGAAAGTTTTCTATGTACCAAAATAACTTGATCAAACACAACATTTATAAGTTTAGCTGTGCTTATTCTATAGAAGCAAAAATCCATTAAGATCGGTACACTATATCATATAGTTGCCATAGAAACAAATCTCCTCGAAATGAAGTTCTTGTAAAACCTTTGTTTATGTTTTTCCAGATACCTTGAGATAAATGTCTGGAAGGGTATTAAAAAGTCGGTGTGCCTACGCTAGTTCTGTTCATGTTGTTGCTGTGCTTGGGCTGTTCGCTTTCCCTGGCCCTCGTCTCGTCAACAGTTTTGTGCTTTTAATTCTTATTTAAAATTGCATGCTCATCTCTTAAGTGGGCATGCTGCATTTAATTTTATTTATTCATGTTTCTTTCTCTATACTATAGAGTATATATATAAATGTATTTTTTTGAGTTCTTAAAAGCCAAGCGGCTTTGCTGTCGCAGCCGTTCGCTTGGACATTTTCCGTTGCTGTTGCTGTTCTTGTTGCTGTTTGCCTTTTCCAAGAGGGAAAATATGCTTCTATTAGTTTTTCCTCTGTGCGCCGCGGCGACTGCAACGCTTGACTGCGCCCCAGGGCTATTATTTAATTATTTTGTCAATGTGTACTTTTTTTTTATTATTTTTTTGCGCTCTCTGTTTTTTTTTTTTTTCGACCTCAAAAAGAGAAGCAACTGCAGTCAGAGCTCTTGGGCTCTTGGCTTATACAGGCATGGCACTTATATTGTGCTGCTTTTTATTTTTACTACATTTTTTATGCATTTGTTTTTTTCTTCTCTTTTTATTCCTATTGATTTTATGCTCAACATTGTTGCGTTTCAATTCGATTTGCTCTGGTCTGTTTATTTCTGCCTTTTTTCTATTTTATTAATTTAGGATACTTTGGCTTTAATCGCCGCCAAATCTGCCACCTCTTGAATAGATATCGGGCTTTTATTTATCTTTTTTTAACAATTCTTTTCAATAGAAGACACACATATAAAGTTAATTATTGTTCAGGCACATATAATTCATTTCTTTGCCAGGCTTTTGGGCTCTTTTATGCTTGGTTTTCTTTATTTTCATGCCGTGTTTTTGTTTGTTTTTTTTTGTGCCACCGAAAAATAGTTTGACAAAGAAAGTGCGCGAAAAAAAAAACATAATAAATAATGTGCTAAGAAAAGACGCTAACAATAGCGCCTAGAAAAATGCCTTCCATGTGTCTGAGTGTGTGTGTTGGCTTGTGTGTGACTGTGTGTGTGTGTGTGCCTCCATTGGGACTGCCAGTTGCTGCTAGAGCCGTGTGCATAGAAAAAGCCAAGAGTGGAAAAAGTTTATTCTGGTCAAACTGCTTCCGTCTGCGGAATTGACCTAGAAAAGACAAAATTAATAAAAAATCGCACAAAACAACAAATAAACCAAATCCATGAGTAGCAGGCAACGTCGACGTCGACGGCGACGGCACCGGAGCTTAAAGTGTCAGCGAGCAATAACAAAGTAATCAGAATTAAAGCACAAAGCCAACCACGAAGAGCGAATGCTCTAAGAACTTTCAAATCCGGGTACTTAAAGGCAAGTCTGCAGGGCCAAATATACAATTTTAGCTTGCGGTTCAAACCAAAGTGATTCTCAGGGTTCGGTTCACGGTTCTATGCAATATCTAAGCCTATGAAGTCAGGTTTGGCTTTGAGCCCGAACTTTACATATGTCTTGCAATTTATCAAACCTTTTTAATTAAATGTTTTAAATATGGTTTGGTTCAGTTGTAGGCTTATTTATTAATCTTCTAAATATTCCGGCTTAAGCTGCGGCTAATGGTAAATTAGATATTGCATGTTCTTGTGCACAAATATATTTAAAATATTCAAAAATTTTACAAATTACTTTTTTGCTGACAAAAATCGCTTTGTTTACTCCAAAATGCGTATTTAAATTATTGTAAATCAAAAGATTGGTATACAAGTATTTAAGACTCATTCTTTAATACGCTTTGCTGCAGAGCCACACGGAAATTAAATAGCAATAAAGAAAAAAATGTTAAAGAAATGTTGAATATAGAAGTAGCTACAGAATGAGCGGCCCAAAAAAATAAAAAACAACAACAACGACAGAAACCGAAAACAACACAAAAGAATCTAAACCGCACGAAAGCTGGCAGCCAAGAGCGCAGGCTAGTTTGAATGCCCTGTTCCGCATGAACGGACAGGGTATATTGGTTAAATATTAAACGTACGCGAAAGCCAATTTGGTGGAATGACTTAAGAGTGCCACGCCCACTGCCACGCCTGCTAGAAAGACTGACTGTGTATTACAAATAATTGAATAGATTGAAATGCTAAAATAAATGAGTACAGTGGTGGTCGTATAAATGGGCACACGTTTTTATTAAATGGGTATCTTGTTATTATTATTAATAACGGTTTTTCAAGTAAAGGCTATAATTACAAACTATTCATATAAAATTTTTAAATAGCGCTGTCAGTAAGTAGAAACTTATTCTACAGGTCATGACAATGCTACAACCATAGACAAGCTTACGATTTGAACAAGCATCCTTTTTGTGCTGTTGCCTGAACTGCATAGCTTAGTTATCGAGAACTTTATTTCACTAGCAAGTTGATATGTTTAAGGTAAGAGACCAAGACTTTTCGCTGCCCAAATTAAATTGGGCAACGTTTAGTTCATCCCATAGCGATAGATTTGCCAATTTTCCATTTCTGGGCACATATTAATAGTCTTCATGTCTAGAAAGTTAAGACTCTTACCCATTTAAAGTGCGAGAAAAGGTTGTGATCGTTTAGGCTCTAAAGCCTGAGGGCATAGAGTATTTTGCAGTCGGGCGCTTAGCTGCTGGCGTTCTAGCCAAATATTGTCGCCGGCCTGCGAATTTTGTTACTGTTAAATAAATCTTCTTCAGTTAAGTTTTATGTCTTCATGCGGCTTTAATGAAGCCAGCGTCGTGCCGCGTCGCGTCGTGTCGTGTCGTGTGGTGTTGCTGCCGTTCTCCAAGTTGGCCAAGTTGGACAAACTGGACAAATCGGACAGGTGACTTTGCCGCAGGCTGTTGACATGGCGCGCGCGTTTTTTTTTTTTCATTAAATTTCGGCATTATGAAAATGTTGTTGCTGCCGCTACTGCGAGTGAATGTACGGCCATGTAATTATGTTTTCATTTGGGCAGCAAAACTCCAACTTAATAGGCTGGCATAGAACTACTTTCGTTTTGTTGAAGTTTGATTTTGATGGAGCAGCACTTATAAAGAACTTTTCGTAAACACACACACATACAGATGGGCAGGCAGGCAGGCAGGCATTTATTTTGCACGTTGCGTGTGGGCACACGACACCAAATAAAGATTCCAATTCAAGTTGGCAGCCTCATAAATTGTCAATATTGCCATTTGCCGTTTGCCATTTGCCCCTGTTGTTGTTGTTGTTGTAGTTCTTCTTTCGTTGTTGTTGCTCGTTCTTTGTTGCTGTTGCTTTCCACTTTGGCACTGATTTGATTTTTGTCTGACCATTGACTTTTTCCCAGCAACGCCTGCGCCTTCGGCTTGGCCGCCTCCTTTGCCTGCTTTTCTTTATGGCCAAACTGTATTTTTGGCCAAAATGTCACTTTTTTATTGTCTTTTTATGAGCGCAGCGTGTCGCTGGCCTGGCCTGGCCCTCACAGCCAGTTGTTAAACGTGCGCCGCAACTTTCGATTAACGAAAATTATTTCACTACATTAGTGTCTCAGTGTGTGTGTGTGTGTGTGTACTCATGTGTGTGTGTTTGCCTAGGGCCTGCAATAATTGGGATTTCCTTTTTATATTTGCTTATTTTCCTTTTTTATGACACGGCTCTTCCCGAATGGTGAGATTGTTTAGTTCTTTAATGCAGCTTGTGTATGCTTAACAAATGGGACTTGTTTTAGTCTTATTTTTTGCTAGTTCTTTAAGGTTAATAAACTTTTGACAGGGGAGCTTCAAACTATATTAGACGATATTCTCTAAATTTATATATGTATCTACAGGGTTTTCTGATCGATCTGAGAGTCTGTTCGCAATCAGATTTTCTCTCTACCCCTCTTGCTCGCTCTATTACCTCCTTGCTGTATCGCTCTCTCTTTCTCCTCTGTCACTCCCTCTCCCTCTGTCTCTGTCTATCTCTTACTCTCGTACTCTCTCACTCTTTCTCTCTCCCCCCGCAGAAAGCTGCGTCTCTTTTATTTCCTCTTTCTAGCTGTCCTTAAACGTTTTACTGGCTGTTTTTTAAAAGAGGTATGTGCACTTGCCTTTGAATAAATGACCAGCTTAATTCTCGTTAGTTCTTCTGACAATTTTAGCTGGGTTTCTCATAGTCAAGCGAAAAATTGGCCTGCAACTTATTTCGCTTTAGTATTGTATGCGGTTGTTTTCTAAGTCAAATGCGTTGGGCATTTCAATTGCAGCTTTTGATAAATGGCCAGCAACTGAACGTCTGCGCTTTCATCGCTTAAGCCACAGTACATTTGACGACCGTGGGTGAAAACCACCAAAAAATGGCATTCAGCTTTCGCCCATTTCAGTTAAAATCCACCGCACAAAAGCCAAATGTTGTGTCTGTGTGTGTGTGTGTGTGTGTGTGTTTGTGTGTGTGTATGTTGACTTGTAAAGAAGCGATGAGTCACAGTACCTTTGGGCTTTAAGCCACAAAACACTTTTCTAGCGCAAGGTCAGCTGCACACCAGTTGTTCTCGCACTCGCACACACACACACACGCACGCACACTCATAACTAACGTTCGCTTTTGGGAAGCTCAGTTCCGTTGTCTGTCTCTGTGTGTGTGTGTGGCAGTTGCTTTGCTTCAGCGACACAAATTACGTGCCCAGCGCGCTTGTCATGCCCGTTTCAACTTGCCGCATGCAAAAGCTGAAGTTGTAAGTCACTCGACGTTCATTATTCTGCCAAGTGCCACGCCCACCCAACCGCCCCCCTTTCGCACCGGTTGCCACAAATTTTCACGCCTCTGCCGCTGTTGCAGCTCATTTTACTTTTCGGCAACAGCAACAGCAGCAACAATTGGCCCAGTCCACAGATTTTCAGTGTCTAAAGACTCGGTCTACAATTGTTAGCATCAGACGCATGCGCATGCGTCTCACGTAGCCGCCGCAGTCGGTCCCACTCCCTCCCCCCCCCCCCCCTCGCCTTCCTTTCTCTGCCTGCTGCTGTAAACTTTCTGTGAAAGTTCTGTGGCTGTGACTGCATAAATCTTCCACATTTTTCTTGGCATTGTCTGGCGCGTAGATACAATCGAGTTGTACACATATTTTTGTTACTTTATTTGTATTTATTTATTTATTTTTTGACTAGTTAGCGACCGCTGTTGGCAATTTTCCCACAGCTCGCGCATTGTTCTAAAAATGCCTCGCATAATTATGATCATAATCAACGCAATGAAATACATTTTGATAATAATGAAAAGAGTTCTCGCAACGATTAACAACACTCAAAAGCTGTGACGCGTTTTGCACACTACTTTCACAGGCGCAAAATAACTTTATAAAAAAATATAATCTTTTATTGTTGTCGAGTCATAAAATTAATTATGAATTATTAAAATGCATTTATTTGTTTGCGGTCAGCATTCTTTTGGCCACTTACAAGCTGTCGAAAGTAAAATCGAAAAATATTTTTTTGCCAGCTTTAGCGCGTACACTCGTGTGTGTCTCTTGTCTATTTATTGCTGCCATACATCTTTATGGCTAATTTATTTGTTTTATAACAATTTTGGGCTTAGCTGGATGCTGGCTTCACGCATCTGCAACTGCTGCTGCTGCTGCTGCGACTCACATAATGTTAATGCCGCATTATGAACGCCTTTGTCGTCACATTAAAACAAGCATAACAACTACGTGACTAATTATGTTGATATCAAACATGTTTATACACACATTTATACACACACACACACACACATATTTTTTCTTTCTCTGCTTTTTCTCTCTCCCCCTCTGTGTGTGTATGTGCGTAAAAGAAAGTGAAATTAATGTTAAGTGCGCGTATAACATGTTCAGTTTTGTCAGGGCTTTGTCCATACATATACATAAATATTATATATATATTATATTTCTTTTGCCAACGTTTGTTGTTGGTTCTGCAAATGCTTTGGCAACGTGTTTTGCATTTTTATTCGAATATAAATTAACAGCCTGCTGTGAAAACTAGACTCTAGATAAAGCTAGCTAAACTTTCGGTTAAGCTACTTTAGAATTGGGGCAAGACTATCTAAATAATGAAAGTAATTTATATATTTTTATATATTTCACATATATATATCCAATATCTTAGACTCTTCTTATTGATTTGTTTTAATCTACCTAAAATCTTATTGATTTAATAGGTCACTGTAGCCTCATCAGCCTCTATCAGTATTTACAATGATGGGATATTTAGTTGTATGGGTCGCAAGGAGTGTAACGTTCAGGGGCGTCATTTTGTGATGCGGTCATCCCAAGATCTTAACGACCGCATTCGAATGCCGAAGCAGCTTGTCTGCACATATTTCAGAAAAATACTCTCTACTCTATATACAAGCTAACAGCTGGCTGTCTTAGCACCGCCTTTAGATAAACCCAACTGCATGCATTTGTGTATATGTAACCCCAAACCGTTGCAGTTCATTGACCCTCGGCTGCTGCTGCCGATGTGGTCAATTTCAAGCCTGCGAGCATGCCAAAGTCTGCAATTGCATAGAGCTTTCCTTTTCTATATGTCGCCCCAGTCAATTTATTGCCCAATTTTTGTTTTGGAACCCAGTCAAATGAAAGTGATAAATTTTGTGTGCTACGCAGTGAGAATTTTCACCATAAGCAAAAAAACCAAAACACAGTGAAACATAAATAAAAAAAAAGGAAAAACAAGCGAGCTGCACATTAAAAAATAGTTGCACGTAATTTAGTACGCGACAACAAAAGCAGCAAAAGCAACTGCTACCTGAAAGGCAAATGCGACCAGCTAATAAAAAGAAAAGTGGAAAAAAAAATTTTGTTTTAAATAATACTTAATGCAAATGCGCTGCTTTTTCTGTTGCTTCTTCTGCTGCGCCTTGATGAGAAAGAAACTGAAAGTGCATAATTAATTAATTGTAATTTTAGATAATTTCGCTCGACTCATAAAAAATGCGAAACATGCGCCCAACTCATTTTTTGCTTCACGTTTTTAAGCGTCATTTAAAATGTATTTAATATGAGAAAACACTTGGCCAAAGTGTGCTGGCCGGTCGGTCAGTCGTCAGTCGGGGCGTATGCGTGATTAATTATGCGTGTAAGTGTGTGTGAGTATTTTTGGCTAAAAATACGCTAGCACAAGTGTTAGATTGCATAAAAATCGTATATTTCAAGCTGTCAAAGGCAATTTAAGCTGAAAACCAAACAGACACGCACACATGCATAACGCTATTGCACAGCCCCTACCAGCCCCCCCCCCCCCCCACACACACACACACACTCACACACACCCACACACGCTTAATACAACAACAGCACAGCTATAACAACTGATGTGCGGTTTTGGTTTCATGGCTTACGGTTTTGATTGCTGCCATCGCTCAATTGATTTTCCACTAATGCCATCGATTGGTACAAACTGAAATAAAAGCGAAATGCAAAGTATTAAAAAAAGTCGCACACACACACTCGCACACTAAATCTTAAACATCAAAATAAACAATTTTTGATGCGGCATTATTTGACATGAAATTGAAACGCATCGTGAAAAAAGGATATCTACACTCATTTTATGCAGACCAAATTAAATGGGATTAATTGCGGCTCAGCTTCATTTGGCAGTGTATTAAATAGTCTGCAATGGGAGGTTTTATTTTATTATTTTTGATCTGTTCATCAAGGCGAAAAGTGAAAAGCAGCAAAGTCACCCGCAAGCAGATTAAATGAATACAAAAAGAACTGTTATAAAACAGAGCTGCTAAAAACTGTGTGCCCTGATTGACTGACTGATTGAGTGATTGACTGATTGAGGATCAACCCACAGACTATAGTTAGGCTTTGTGATCTAAGTGCTAGGCTTTTGGAAAAGCTGCAATCGAGTGTGTGGAGTAAAAGCGGGAAATAACTATAATTTTCCGCTTCAAAAGCATTTTCGGATATTTTGTAAGAATTCCATCTTTTATTTTATTTTGGCGAACGTTTTACGCTTTTCGAATAATCCATAAATATGAATGTACTCGAACAAACCCGGATAATACCCGTCGGTGGTTTATATATATGTATACCAAAAGATAACTATTGTAATTTAGAGAGCTGTCTAGATTGTTTTCCGTTTGTTTAAATTGATAAGCCACACTGAACATAAATCTTTTCAGCTGCCTCACCTTGAGGGCGCTTTTTGTTTGTTTGGCTTTTTTTTGTAGTTATGTGGCCTACGTCCAATTACACGAGACTGTGTATATGTGTGTGTGTGTGTGTGTGTGTGTGCATGTGTGTCAAGTCTGTGGCTGCCAACGCCCACATATTTGCCGACACTCGCTGGTCCATTTTGTGGGCGTGGCCAGCCCGTGCTGCCGCCTCCCAGCTCGCCGCTCAAAGCACATAAATGTCAAACGCAAAAACCATAATAATTCATTTGACTGCAAAATCCCGACTGCATTTGATATATGCAGTACACTGCGCATAGATACTTGATGCTCGGCCAACTAAAACACACACCCAAACTCTTTCGAGGTAAGCCTAGCCGCGTTGTGCGAGAGCCTGTTTAGGGGAAATAAGTATAATTTCCAAGAGGTAGGCTTCTTACTTGGAATCTATGGTGCATATTTAAACCCTGAACCAAAATGAGTTAAAATGGGTATGTGACATGGAGGCGGAAGCATCTTTGAAACCATGTGAATAGCCGAGTCGATCTTGATGTGCATCTCAATCTTTCTAAGCCTTTAACTGTCCATAATTCCGATAACGGATAAATTGTCCCGTTTTCAAGCAATCGATACAAATTGACATCGAAACCAGTTTTTTTCAGCAAATCTATAATTTCTCTAAAATATATGGAGTTCAAGTATGTTTTATTTTATAGCTACCTTCCGCTTGCCAACTGCCGACTAGAGCGCTCTTACTTGTTTTGAGCTGTATTAGCAGCATAATCCTCTCAGAACACTTATCAATCCTTGAAGCAGTTCAAGCTTAACATTTGTCTCATAATCTATCTTAGCTGCATTTTAGCTGGCCAACTCCTCTTGTCCACTTTCCCTGTTAGGGTATAATAACTTATTTATCTGTCCTAGGATATTTTATTTTGGCCATTTAACTGCATTTCACATCGTTATTAAATACCACATTTAAAAAGAAATTCATTTGCATAGATTGTTAAAGTTTTTAATATTTAATAACGTAAATTTCATTGTGCATTTGTGAATTTTATAACAGACGGAAGTGTCTAATGAATGTTGAATGTCTATTTGCCAATATAAATAAATATTTAATGTGAAATGAAAATGAAAATGTGTAAAATATATTTGGCAAAAAATTTGCCTGCAAAATGCAGTCAAATAAAATAAATAAATGCACTTGTTTATTTATAAATTTATTATAACCATTTATATATTTATTTTGCTGTGCGCTTAACCAGCATGTACTACCTTTGCCTGGCTAATTAGCCGTTAGTCAACACTGAAAAAACCGCACACAAACGTGCACGGTGTTGAAAAATGAACGCGATAAGAAAAGAACCGAAAGAAAGCAGAAAAATCTGCGCTAATTTGAAACTTGAAATCACAACTAATGAAGATTTAAGCAGCTGCAGCTGCGGCTAACGAATGTGTCTGCTGGGTTGAGGGGGAGCGAGAGGGGTGGGAAGGGGGTTGCTGCTGCGGCTCAGCTGCAAATCTCAAATGAAAACAAAACGCAACAGAAACAGCGTCCAAGGAGGCAGCTCACAAAGGCAAACAGCGCCCGTGGCAAATGCATTATTAATAAATGAAAACGCTGCGCGTGTAGATTGCACTTTATGCATGCATGTGTGTGTGCGAGTGTGTGTGTGCCCCACTGAACGTGCAGTTCATGGACAATGCCAGCTTGAATAAGATGTCCTTTGTTGTCTCTCTGTTTGTGTGTGTGTGTTTGTATGCGCGCGGACATCAGCTTGTGCGTCGTTGCTTTTCCGGTGTGAATTAGCGTCGAGTGCCACATGCAATTTCCTGTTGTTGTAAATTGCAGCAGCAGCAACAGCGGCAACAGCAGCAGCAGCAGCAGCAGCAGCAGCAACAGCAGCAGTAGCTGCGTTTCTTGTGCTGTCTTTAATTGCTGCACCATGGCGCTGTTTTATGGCGGGCCACGCTTTAAATTTGAACACACTTAGCACACACACTCAGCGGTCGCTGTTGTTTTTGTTGTTGTTGCTGTTGTATCAGCATTCAATTTGCTTGGTTTTTAGCAACGGCAACGGCAGCGGCAGCACAAAGCTCAACTAGCTGCGGAAATTTGCTCAGTTACTTTTGTGCAATCCCCAAATCCCAGTTCAATTTTATCTATGTATCTATCTGAAACTACTTGGCAAATAGCTTCAGCTAGTTGCGGTCCTGCCTCTGGCGCGTTGCACTGTTTGTATTTGTATCTGTAGCTGTTAGCTGTAGCTGTAGCTGTAGCTGTATCTGTAGCTGTTAGCTGTAACTGTAACTGTGTGCAGCTTCAATGAAATTGTTGACGTAAATGGACAACAAAGCCCGGCACTCAGCTGCATTTTTCTTTTCTATTTTTTTTTTTTTTATAACCTTATTACAGCGGGCATTCTTATTTTGACATGTGTTCTGTAACCTAAAAAGCTAGACATTAGCGATCGCATGAGGTGCATTTCTTGATCAGTTTGAGCTGCCGTGTCGGTAAAGATATGTCCTTCGGTGCAAGATAGACTCCAGTCTAAGAGACTGGTTCTTAGGTTCAGGCCAGTTAAAGGTTTTGCCAAGAAACTTTGAAGGCAATTACATATGTCAGAATCTTTCAAATCTGATCAATATATCATATGACTGCCATGAGAACTCTAACATATGTTAGATTTACTTGTGATTAATGAGCTTTCTTTTATATGAAAAAATGTTTTTTTTCCAGATTTAAAAGGAAAATCTGTTCAAGAATACGTTTTTTTTTATGTTAACTTTTCATCTTTAGCAAAAACATTCAGCTCATGCTTGCAAGAGTATTTAAGCGACGATGTGCCGCATTTAATCGCTCTATTTTTGTCTTCTGCTTCCCTGCTAGCATTGGACCTGCCCTACCCGCTTCCACCCATTGGCCAATCCGCCCACTCGGGCCGCCTGTTGTCGCCGCTGCACGAAAATGCATGGTTCGTTTAATAGCATCGGGCTGAAATTCATGTTTATTGCATTTTGCATGCTGGCAAATAAACGCCTGCCCACTTTGATCGCACAAGTGTATATATATATATATATGTATATATATATATATATTTGCTATATGTATGCTACATAAATATGTATATAGAGAAAAGGCAGCCAGTCGAAGCAATTCAAAAGCCAGCCGCTTGCTTAATTTTTGATTTGATTTTTTTTTGCGCTGCATTTTTTCTTTGATTTTCCTTTTATTTCTGGTGCCCCCTTTTCGCTCCCTTTTTGACCCTTTTTTGTATGCCTCCCCCAAAGAGTTTTGCTGACCACAAAGCCGCAGAGCTGCAGCTGCCTTGAAATGTACCTTTGCCTGGGCAAACATACTTGATTGGCTGCTGCTGGACGTGCGACCTCAACGCTATGGCAATGGCACGTAATTAGTGCATGCTATATGCCTTTCGCACACACACACACACAGACACACACACACTGATATGTGCACAGATTAATGCCAAGTTACTTGAGAGGCCTGCTGAGGGAACCCCTTTTTTTTATTTAGTTATGTGACCAGACCGCATGCAAATATCTTCAGCAGCAGAAGCAGTTAGGCAGGTATTAGGTGTACGCTGCGTATACGCAATATACAGCAGGCAATACACAGTCGACTGTCAATTAAGTCTGCCGGCAACTGGCAACTGGTAACTGTCTATTGCAGCTTTCAGTGGCAATCGATTTGTATCCTTGTTCTTTATCCTGCAACCAATTTGCTCAGTTACAAGCAAGCCATTTGCGTGTGCAACTACCTCCGTTTGCTCAATCTTGGCTCATCGTCATCATCATCATCATTCTTTGGATGTGCATCGAATGCACATTTCAAGCGCATCCCCAGGGACAAAATGATTCACAAAGCGAACATTTCTCGCACAGTTTCGCTTTATCCAACCACACACAGAGCAAGAGGGAGAGTTAGAGTGAGCTCTGGGCAAGATAATAAGATGCCTGCTTTTGTGCCTGTGCAGGCAGGCCAGTTCATTTTTATTTAACATTCGTTGCATTTCTCAGCAGTTCACTAGACTCGCAGTTCACAATCATATCTTTCATCTGTTCAGCCGATAGAATGCCAAAAGCAGCGAGCTTTGTGACATAAACGCTCTGCTCACTGATATGTGAAATGTAGCTGGGCATAAAATTCCGTGCTGGTTATTTAGCCACTTTTCAGCCAGTTTTGACCGATAAACTGGTCGTTAAGTCCAACTACCGATTCTAGGTTTAGGAAGCATCTTAACATTGTGTTTAATGCATTGCCCGAAGACCTTGGTCGTTCTAACTTCATTACAGTCTGATTTTGTTAGCATCACTTTCAGTTTTCTTGTTTGATTGAGTGCTCCAAGTGCATTGATGACTGCTCCATTTGAACAACAAAGTTGCGGCAGTTCTTAACTGAATATCATTTTAAAGACTGAGAAAGTTAAAGTCACAAAGATATTGGCCAAGGCAAGTTTACTTCACATTAGCCAGGTTCTTGATAGGATATTGCTTAGGAACTTTATACTCTCTTAATGGATATTTATTATATCTGTTTTTTTTTTTATATTTTGAATATTTCAATATTTTCAAGAAGTTTCTTATATTCTAAAGCAGATTTTTATATTTTCGTGAGATTTTAATTTTTTGCCTGAGAGAATTGAGTATTAGCTAGTTGCCATGAGACAGTTGCTGAACAACAAGCCTTCAAGCTTGAGTAAAAATTTGGCAACATAATTTTTGGTCAAAATTTAATGTGAATAAGGAACCCTTGAATATCCTATACAGACAAAGGTCAAAATATTCCACTCCCATAACTCGGTCAAAACTAAACCAATTTTTATAAGCTTTAGCTTTTTTTATGGTTTGGCCAATAAATCGAAATAAATTTGGCATCTAAATCTGGCAACCTTATTTTTAGTCAAATTTCATGTAAAAATAATAGCCCCAGGGCCCGGAGTATACCCACTAGTATATAATATAGAGAGATAGTGATAGAAATTAACTTGCTTCTTATTTAAATTATTTTCTAAATAAAAAGTGACAATTCTTCAATTTCCCCCTTTATTTGACTACATTAAAGTACTTTGAAGTGCTTTCAATGATTCATATGCAACCGTCTTTTATATTTGCTATTCACATTTATTTTCAAGTAAATGAGATTATTTGAAATAGATTTCAATGGGCCCCTCAATGATTCCATATAACGCATGTGCCTTATAAGCTAAGAGTTGCAGTTGGTGCAAATGTTATGCATTACTCTGGGCCGTATATGTCTCTGTTTGGCCTTAAATAGGCTTCAAACAGAGTGCTTGCAAGTAGATTCTGATCCCATTAAGTGGCCGGCAAGTATTGTATGTGATCAAAGGCTGCACAGGTCAGGTTGATGGATGTACATTATATGTACGCATGCACTTAATGTACAGCTGCACAGCGACGCGGCAAGGCGGGGAAATTGCCTGTCTGGGGTTTTACTTGCAGTAATTTAAACACGGCACATTGATGCCGCAATTACGCATTTTAATTTTCATTTACAACTGAGGAAAGGCAACTGTTTTCTTTGTGTCTTTGCCATGCACAATGTCGATAATACCAATACACACATATATGTATTTATATATATATATATATATATATATAGAAATATATATATATATCTCACATGTGCTCAAAGGATATGAAGCGCGTTTCATGTGGCAAGTGGGGACACACCTCAAAGCCTCGCAAGTCGTTGGCAGCTGGCAATTAAAAATGTTCTTTGCTGTATGTCAAGTCCAACTTATTTCAGATTGTTATCCAGCGACAACAACAGGATCGTAAAATATGGTTAACATGGGAATTTCAATGGATATAAAGCGGCACTTTTTTGATGACTCCGTATTTTATGTCTATTCTAATTTGGGAGTTTTATGACTTGGGGACTTGGGTATCAAAATGCGCTTAATCAAGGAAATGGCCAGCTAAAAAAGAGGAAAAAAAAAAACATAAAAGTCAAAGCATTAATCAAATTCTGAATTGATAAATGTGTAACAACTCATTTGAACAGAAACTTGGCAGCAAGAATAGTTGAAGTTATGCGAATAGTTGAAAGTTAAACTTTTATTTCTGTGCATAAACTGGCGCATTTGTCAGCTAATTTATAAAATCGAATTAAAAGAGAAAGCACAACGGAGAGGGATCGAGAGATAGAGAGGAGAGCTAGATGCAGCTGGCGTCGATAAATTCATTCTTTTGCCAAGAAATAACTCAATAAAAGGCATTGAATGACAAGAACTTGGCAAACTTTAAGATAAGTATAAATGCCCTTAGATTTCAAGACAATAAATTAATAGGGGCATTGCAAAAAGGGCCAGCAGAAAGAGACGAAAGATGAGCAGAGCAGAGTAAGTGTAGAGCAGCCGAAGCCTGGCAAAAGCGCAGCAAGGAATTTAATTTCGAGCGTTGTCATTAAAGGAAATGCACAAACGAAACGAAAAGGAGCAGCAATGCAGCAAATGCAGCGGAGTGTGGGGGAGACTGAGTGAGTAAAAGAGAAAGAGAGAGAGAGAGAGAGATAGAGAGAGAGAGCAGAGATGAGTACGCGTCGTGCTTTGCTTCGTGGCACGTTCTCTAAAGCTAGGCTTTAAATATTCTTTTTGGGCTTAACTTTTGACATAAATTCACTTCATAGTTTCCATTCTTCAACTAAGAATCATAAACATGACTTTTTCAATTTTTAAGACGAAGAAGAGTCGAAATGTATGAAAATAAGAATATTCGAGTGAAATAGTAATCAATTGAAAATGAGATCATCTTTTATATCTGTCGCAGGGCTAAGCACACAAAAATAGGCTTTGGTTGTTCTAGCTTTATATCCTTTTAATTGCTTAAAATTCTCAAGTAGTTATTGGGGCGGGTTGACGGCAAGGCCTCACAAATCTAGCTTCGGTAGCAAAGTTAGCTCATGATAGAACCTTGGAGGTTCTTAAAATTGCTAAACAGAAAACCTGCTCTGTGAGCTTTTATACCCTGTTTTTGTAGTTGTTGCTGTTGATTTTTTTCGAACTATTTAAAAAACCCAGATAATACCATTTATTTTATTTCTGAAAAACAATCGAGTCATATTCCACCCGTGCTTTGATATATTTCATATTTTCGTGCTCGTATTTTTTTTAGCCAGCCCGCGACTCGCTCTAGCTGAAAACTTGTATTATGCACTTAACAGCTAACAAAGATTTTGCACTCATATTCAATGGAGTTGAACAAGCAAATAAATTTCGTTGTTGCCAACGAAAAAGCATTCAATCAGCTTCGCTCGGCCAACAGTCGGGCCGAAATATGTATGTGGGTGGGTGTCAAGAGTGAGCAGTTAAAAGTCAAATGGCGCACACGAGCCATAACAATGAGCAGCTGCTGCCTCCAGCCCACCGCTTTTTCGCTCCTCCATGTCCTTTGGGGACATTACACACAAAATCGCTTGTAATCAATCAGCAGCAAATTAAATTTCCAAGCGCCCGGTCGAGTCAGATTAAGTATGAAATTGTCCGCCGCAGTGCACTCAACTGGGGCTGCAGCTAGCTCTCCGTCTGTGTGTGTCTTTCTGTGTGTATGTGTGTGTATATTTGTGTGTGTGTGTGTCATATACAATTGTTATCTAGCGCTCTATTTGTGCGTTGCGTACATCCAAATGCCATAGAGCAGCTCGCTTCATTTAGCGCATCTAAATTCAGCTTGGAAATTAATAACTTTAGCCAAACGTGCCTCACACCCTCTCTACCCCCCGCCCCTTCTCTTCACTCTCCTCGCTGTGGCAACACTGACAGCCATTTCTCAGAGCTTACATAGACGTCGCCATGGCGGCCATCATCATTCGGGTCTGCGGCGCTGAGGCGCGCTCAAGTGTGTGCGTGAGTTAAAAAATTTTTATTGCATACATTTGAGCAGTCAGCATAATTTCTCACTTTTGCGTGAAGTTTATTAGGCGTCGGCACGCACCAAACCCACCAGAACAAAAAAAAAAGGAAAGACAAGAAAAGCAAAATAATGTCCTTAGTCAACACTGGCAGCGTGTAACTCAATTTTGATAAATTTCATGCGACATGTGCCCATTGATGTGGCTATTTTTGTGTGCTAACTGGTATGTCATCTTAATATCAAAAATCTTACTAAAACAAACGGCCAAGTCTTTGGCGAAATTCCCATTTTGAGTCTGGGCATATTTGGGAAGAATTTCCATAAATAGATTTTAATTAAAAGTTGGCGTGGGCTCTTTAGATGCTTGACCACTTTGAACTTGCGGGCTTTCAATTTAATGTTAGGAAATATTTCGTATTATATCATAATTATAAGTTAAAGTGTAAGCTATAACTGTTATATTGTGTGGTATTATATTCTGTTACAATTTGAATTTTAGAGGGGTCCCATATACTGTTTTATACTGTCTTATATAGTGGTTGTATCCTGCTTATATAAAGTGCTATATTATCTTCGATAGTGTGAATATAGTGTATTAAATTGTGGTTTTTAGTGGAGTTCCGTTGAGTTACATACTAGTCTGATATTGAGATAATTGTAGTGCTGTTATGTATTATATGTATTATATTGTGATACTTGGTGTTGGTTTACTATGTCATTCTGGTGTCATATTGTGTTACACTATTTTATACATTGCTGTTTTATTGTATTCTATTGTGGGCTTATATATTGTTATATTGTGGCTTATAGTGAAGTTTCATTAGCTATATACTAAGTAGTTTTATATTTTGTCAAACCGTACAATCTGATGGTGCTAAAGTGTATTGTTTTGTGTGTTATACTATAGTAGTTTGCTATTGTGGTATACTATGTTATTGTAAGCTGTTATATTGTATTCTCAATTAGGGGTATATTGTGTTAGACTGTGGGATATAGTTTTATGCAAAGTATTTTGTTCTGTTGTGTAATACTGTGTGATATTGTGTTATAATGTGCTCTCATATTATCTTTTGAAAACGTTAAAAAAACATGTAGTTAAAATTAATGCTCTCTCAACACTTTGTTTTATCAGATAGAGCTAATTCCCCCAAATATATTAAAAAGTCAACGTCATTTCATTTTGCTTGCCAGAAACAGACTTTGGTTAACTAGATTTGAACATAATTTGTAAAGCATTCTCAGAGCTGTCTCTTGGCCAATTTGAACCACAAGCTCGGTCACAATTTTAGGGGGTTTTATGTGATTTGCTGTGTGTTGTCGGCTCCTAAGAGGCTGCTGCTGCTACTAAGCGCTTAATATTCTAGCATAAACAGTTTATTTTAATGCTTTCTGTGGACACGCCCACACGCACATTAATAAACTGGCGAACTGGGTTTGTGGACATTCAAAACCACCTTAGAGACAAGTCAGAGATGATGAATTGTGCTGATGATTCATTTGGGAGCATACTTTTTGGCTTTTCTTTTTGCAGTTGCCTTCATCTAGTTGCCTTTCTTTTAAATGCCTTTTTGTTTAGTATTTTATTTTGTTTTGCGTTTTTTTGTTTTTTGTTTTTAGCTGTCAGTCGGCGCCCAGTTCCGTTTATTGGGTAATTAGTCTAATTAACGCGAAGTCTTTCAAAGGCTACCAAAATGAACCTAAACTCATGTTACGCACTCCGCTAATTAAACTTTGTACAAGTGCTTTTATGTTTATTTTTTGGCATTAGTCAATGAAATCCGCAGCTGTATTTTAAAGTAAAAAAAAAACCTTCCCAGCCTCTAATTGTGTATAGATTTGTACTAAGCATTATGTGATTTTAAGGGAGTAACCTTTGACATTTGAAGTATTATCAACAGCGAGAACTGTTGCAAATTGCCCGCTGATCTTTATGAGGCATATAAAAGTCGGCACCTGATTTCTTTGGAAATACTTGGGCATTCGATCCAGAGCCTCAGTTGAAGTTGGGGTCTATATGGCAGCTGGAACAATGCAGAAAACTAATAAAACTTTGTTTGCAGTCACACATACACACACAGTGGGGCATAAAAGCAAGTACTTGCTTGCCTGGCTATAGGGTAGTTTTAAGTGCAACTTAAACTCCAACTCGACACTAAATCAAAAGTTAAAGAAAGCAGCTCAATGTCCAGGGCCAGTTGCCTCGTTCAGCAATTGCTGCAGTCGGTACGTGAGAAAGTGGTATCAAGGATTTATGCACTCGACGCATGCCAACGCACACAGACACAGACAGAGACATAGAAACAGAGAGAGAATGAGAAAAACACACAGGTAACAGCGGAAGTTCGTGGCCCATAATGCCTCAAATCTGAATTATGCGGCAAAATGCAAAGAAAACTGGCAAAGGCCAAAGGACATTGCGGCGGGGCACAGTCAGCAGTCGGCAGTTGGCAGTTGGCAGTCAGGAGTTAGTCGTTTGGTCGGGCAAGCAATGGAAATGACATGCGGACATCCGACATAGGTCAGAAATCAGCATGCTAAGCACTGTGGCGCCAGCTAGCGGCGTCCGTTAGGAACTATCTACCCAGTGCTAACCGTTTGGACAGTTTAAGCCTTGTCCACCCCACCGCGCACTCTGCCATCAACTTTATCAATTATGCAAATGGCAAATTTAACACCTCAACTACGTGCCACATACGAGCGAGTTGCTGCCACATGCAGGATTGACCCCCCTCCCGCCTCTTGGCGACCATAAATCTTCGACTCCAGCGACCGGCAAAAGCCGCTGCAATGAATTTCCAACTACTTTGGCGTTCGCGAATTTCTTTTCTTTTTTTTTTTTCATTTTGAGTGCTGCTGTTTAATTTTACGCCGCCCTGAAGTCCGGATATCACGGCAAAGTGGATTTTTCCGTCAAACATAAAAGCAAAGTTCACATTTGTAATTAAGGTGCTGGGTGGGGCGTGGGTCGTGAGGCGTGGCAAGTGCAGTATTTTATGCGCAAATGAAACACAAATGCCCAGCGGCCTATTAATTTAAATGCAAAAACGCAAAAATGCGCAAAAAAAATACATGGAGCAACAACAACTTTGGCAGCCGTGGCTCAAACGCAGAGCAACACACAAAATATTTGAATACCCTGTTTGCTAGCGACAGATGGTGCTTACCTGCAGTGTCTAAAAAGGGTATAATTATGTGCAACATTAATATATACGAACATTCATGTCGCAAATTTCGGTTTGTTCAGTAGCTAGTACTAGATTTGAAGAAATATTTCTGGGCCTTTCCAAAAGCGCCCACTTATTTCTAGTTAAGTTTACTTAACTTTTTTGCCTAGAAATGTCAATGATAAATTCAAATGTAGCATATGATTCTCTTGTTAAAATTTAATATAATTTGGTCATGATATGTGAAACGTATTGAAGGAAACATCTCCGACTCCATAAAGTACCAGCATCAACAGCCAAGCTGATATATAGACCAGTCTATCTGTCCGTCTGCCCGTTTGTGCGTCTGTCTGTTAACTTGCCTGCCAGTCAAGCTATCGTCTTAGGACTCTGCATATCGGAAATAGCCGGATCGGATGACTAGACCATATAGCTGCCATAGAAACGTTTGGTTAAAGTGAAG